TTAGCACGATTTAGCAAATTATTTAATGATCAGCTCAGAACTAGGAATTTTAGAGTGTCCCACGACTCTATGTCCTGGAGCTCTCCTGGGCTAACCTGACAACCAGTCCATCAAGCTGAGTACCGCCTGTTCTGAGCCCGACTCCACGACACCTCAGGAGACTGGCAGGCCTGAATCCAGAGGCGTGGAAGTCCCCAGCCAGAACCTGTGGGCCACTGCAGGAGAGGTACCCCCTGCTGTGAGCCTATTGTCTATAGTTCTTAGGATTGTTTGCTTTTGCTTGTGTGTTGCCTTGAAGTAAGTGTGAAGTAAAACTTATATACTCAAAACCAACTCACTGAGTTTGTCATTCCTCCCAGGTCAAAACCTGGTAAGGGCTCGAGACACCAGGTAAGTCAGGGGGTGGCCAACTACTTGGGGATTGATTGAAAGTTGCATTGTATATACAGACTCCAAAGTTCAGGACAGGTAGAAAGAATAAATAAAACTCTAAAAGAGACCTTTACCAAATTGTCCATTTTGAGACTGTCGGAACAGACTGGATAGTGCTCCTTCCCTCGGCTCTTTTTAGGGCCCGGAACACTGCTACTAAGTTGGGGCTAACCCCATTCAAAATACTCTATGGGGTCCCACCTCTGCTAGCTAAGCTGGGACTTCCTCTTGATATGATTCCCAGTACTGACTCTGACTTACATGCCAGGTTACAAGGATTGCAGCTGGTGCAAAAGGACCCTTTGGTCTCGGGTGACTGAAGCCTACTAGCCTGGAATTCTATGGGATCGCTGCCTGGATCCATGCATCACACTGGAAACCTGCTCCATCCCATCCAGAGCCGTCCCCTAGTTGGAGGCTATTGTGTCTCCCGAAGTTGGACTCCCTTTTGGGCCCAACACTATCTGGGCATTTATGATTGCCAAGGATTTGAACCCTGGTCATCATGCTTGTGTAACTCCTCCCCAGCCCTGATTCTCTTATTTATTTATTTGGTTTTTCGAGATGGTTTCTCTGTGAACCCCTGGCTGTCCTGGAACTCTGTAGACCAGATTGGCCTTGAACTCACAGAGGTCCACCTGCCTCTGCCTCTCAAACACTGGGATTAAAGGTGTATGCCACCATGGCTTGGCTCTATTATTTTCTAAATGTGTTTTTTGTTAGATTGTCTTCCTTGTTTTTCTTTTTCAAGACTATAGCCTGGCTGGCCTGGATGCTGATAGTTTCTGAAGAAATTTAACACACTACGTAGGTCAGGCTGGCTTTGCACTCACAGAAATCTGCCTGCCTTTACATTTGAATGCTGATATTAAAGACACTGATGAACCAACCAGCCTGCCTCCATGTTAGGCTTGAAGGCTGTCTTATAGTAAAAACAAACTAGGATTCTTCCTGTTTGTTATTAAAGCTGTTTCTCAAGGATTGAGCCATTTTAACTACAAATGGTTCTGTATTGCCTGTTCCATAGCAGCTATGTTTTTGTTTCAAAGTTATGACCATCTTGCAACCCTACTTGTTTTAAAAGGTTATTATAACCACCTGCTGTTTAGTTCTGCTTCTGGAACCCATCTATTTGCCTGCCAAATCTCCGTTTGGAAACCCCCTACCCTGGAGCTATTAAAACCTCACCTTCCCAGGTCAATGCTGACTTATGAAACCTGCCTGAGGGGATGGCAGCCCATCTACATGAATAAAAAAGCTTGCTTTAATTAATTTGGCCATGATAATTAGTGTTGGTGGTCTTTCTCTCTCTCCTCTTTGGGATTACCAACACCCAGAAAATTTTAGCTTACTTTTTTTTAAGTTAGAATTTCTTAAATTTAGAATAATGGGGGGGGCGCCTTGCGCAAGAGCATGTGGAGGTCAGAAGACAACTTACGCTCTCCTTCCACTAAGAGGGTTTCCTGGATAGAACTCAAGACTATCAAGCTTGGTGACAATCACCTTTACCCACTGAGCCATCCCATTGGCACCAATCCATTCTCCATGTCTAATGATTTGTATGCTTTTCTTTAAAACTGGTAGCACTCAAGGGACAGATAATGCTTATAGAAACTTTATCTCAAACGTCTGCTTTAATGTAAGATGCTAATACACATTAAAAAAAAAAAACCCGAGAAACTTTATCTCAAACGTCTGCTTTAATGTAAGATGCTAATACACATTTAAAAAAAACCCACTATCACTCTCTTTTTGTGGCAGGATCGAAGACTCTAAGCACTCACCGCTACAAAAGAAAAGCTGCCTACAACACAAAATCCTGGGATGGCTTCTAGGGCCTGGGTCCCAGGGAACTCGGCCCCACCAAGATGGAGGCAGGGTTTGAGTCTTCAGTCTCTCCCTGGGCTTGGCCTTTGCAAACCTGGCAGCCTTTGTTTCTCAACCTTTGTCTCTGCCTTTGGTCCTTTGTTCTGCCTCCCGCCTGTTTCTCTGCAAGCTCTATGCATCTTAGGGCCTGACTCCTCCGCTTGGGTGACCCGACGCCTCTTATCTGTTTCTACATCTCTTTGTCTCTGGTACCCGGTCTCTAGCTCGGGCCACTGCATCATCTCTCTCCGACAGAGCCCTGACTGGCTTTTAGGCTGGGACCTGGCAGTCTGCAGCAAGGCTGGGGGGCCGAGCCACACCCCAACCCC